CTTCGGTTTGAGTGGCATGTGTAACAACTAGCGAACGAAGACTGGTCGATTAATCGATAGACCTCTCTCGACAGAGAGAGGCTTCTTGGAGTTCGTGTTCAAATGTGTATGTCACGGATATTGTGGGACGTATGGATACGATCGACAGGTGAGAAAGAACTTATTTACGGGCTTTCTTGGTCATGTAAAACGCAAGTAAGATGCTGCAATCGTTTTTCTTCTTTTTTTTTAATCGCATGATAGATTGCAATTTTGTTCTTTGTCATGATTCGCGTGCAGTTTCGTCGGCATTTGTAAATATGCGCGCTAATCTTGTTTTCACTGGAAGGTGAAAAACAAGTTTGTGTGATTTTTGAAAGTGCGTTGTTCGTGGTTCTGTGTTTATTTATACTAAAGTTATTTTATTGCCTTTTCCGCGTTTATACTAGAATCTTAACTGTATTAAGGTAATAGTATTATTATATACAAAATATGTTATGTGTTGTTCTAAGGCAGCTCGAGCCCCATAGGGAGAAGTAAATTAGTAGACTAAGTAGTAAGTTTAGTACCCCTGCCACACGGAAAAGTTAATATATTTTCATTCAGTGATATAGGATTTAATCAGCTCGCGGTCTTGAGTGGTTATACGAGCGCCGCAAGCGGATTTGTCGACCCCACAATGTCATTCGATCGAAATTGCATTAATTTTGCCATGTGGCCGGGGTATGATGCAAGAATTCAGTGACTGCACGCAATAACGTCGCTTACATGATCGTGGGAAACACTTGTCTTGCCTTGTCCGCGTTGACCACGTCTACCTGATTTTTAACTGTTCTGTTTTGCTGTTTCCAAATCACTGCGTGTCTCGCCATTTTGTCGAAGTATTACTGTAGAACATATGCATTCCTACAACAATAATGCCATGACTCAATGTTTTCGACTTAAAACAATCACGTTTTTCTTAGACGTCTTATACGCATACCTCGTGCCATTTCGTACCGATTATTTAGCGGTGTAATATTTTGCTCGTGTAATAAAATGTTGTCTATACCCGTTGCTATGTGCAGCTTTCATTTTAGCTAATATGACACGCGTATGTGACTAAAAACGCGTTATGACGGTCGATCTACGGGCGTTGCATTCGCTTCGACGCGCGCCCCCGATGGCCTTCCTTTGCGACGTCACGAGGAGAGCGCTACGGCCTTGTCTTCTAGGAGGTGTTGGTCCACGGCGTCATGGTGTCCACGGCTGGGAGGAGGAAGCTCCATTCGCCCTTTCGCTTCCTACAAATCTTTTACAATATGTTATGCTTAGTTAGGTGCGCGATGGGGTGAGGGAATAGCGAGAAGGAGAAGGCTCGGCAGAGTCTTTAGGTGCTTTAGGGCCGTCGGGACAAGGCGGGAAAAGAGGTTTCGCAATTGCGAAGTAAACGCCAATCCGTTCGTGTCGACGTTGCTCTCGTCTGGTGTCGCTCTTCTTTCAAAAATTTTGAGCGGGGGATACTACAAACAAGACCAGGTATTTGGACATCAGTTATACTTGCTACCTTTGTTAATATAGTGCAACTGTGGCATGCCAACTGCTCCTAAAATGTTTACTTGTAGACTTTGTAGTTTTCATTCGAACACGCTAGCAGGTTACGCTAGGCATTTCGAGGACCATAGTTTCGGTTCTCGGGTTATTCCGTGTGTCGACGAAAGGTGCTGTCGTCAGTTTGTAACCTATGCTGCGCTCAGATGCCATATTTTAAGAAGCCACAGGGGTTTAAAAGCTGAAGAAGGTTGGTCAGCTTCGGAGAGGTTAACGAGCTTTCGGTGTAATTTGTCCACATGCTTGAGCGAATGCCAGACTAAGGCGGCTCTGGTGAAGCACCTAAAAGTTCATATCGCGGATGGAGTTCTGGTTTCGTGTCCTTGCTCGAACTGCGAGAAAAGGTTTTGAGTGAAGTCGTCCTTTACGGCGCATTTGAGCCGGGCGCACCGCCGAGTGACGCGTATGGTGGGCGACGACGCGGCGCTTCAAAATCTGCCTCGGGTTCAGGATCTCGCGGCTCCGTCAACCAGTGGAGACAATTATGAAGGGAGTGCGCCTCACCTAATATCTAGCAGTAATAATACCCACGACCTATTGCGGTCTTTGCCTGATGAAGAGAAGGCAGAGTGCGTTGAATATACACTCGCTCTGTTTTACCTGAAGTTACAAGGAAAGCTGCTTTTGCCTGAGTCAACGATACAAAAAATCATCGATGAATTTCAGCACGTACATCTCTTAAATAAACAGTACATGTTTGGCCCGCTTGCTGAGACTCTTCAAAACCTGCTTGGTTCAGATGTTGCTGGCAGCGTTATGTCTGACATTTACTCAATGGACGTTATGAGCAAACTTAATTCGACCGTGTTCCGTACACCACACATGCGCTCTGCGTATTTCAGGAAACAATTCCCTTATGTGGAACCCGTTAGCGTGCTCTTGGGACGCAGTCGTGCTAAAAAAGAACGGTTTGCTCAGTACGTCCCGATTAAAGAAACTCTAAAAGTGCTCCTGGAAAACCGATCTGTCAGCCAGGTCTTGAGGGAGCCTCGAAAGGGGTCACGCGCCAATGGTCTTTTGGAAGACTTCTGTGACGGCGCCTCTTATCAGAGGAACGTGCTTTGTACATCTAATAACCCATTACTGCAAATTATGATCTACCAGGACGCTTTTGAAGTGGCCAACCCGTTGGGATCGGCTCGGAAGGTACACAAAGTGGTTGGCGTGTATTTTACGCTCGCTAATTTCGCAAAACATAACCGTTCCACGAGAGATCACCTTCAGTTAGCACTACTTTTTAATGAAAGCGACGTGAGAGCATTCGGCCATGAGAAAATATTTGACTCCCTTATACGGGACCTTGCCGACCTTGAGAAAAATGGACTCACCCTTAATGGCGTGAATATAAAAGGCACGGTAGCGTGTATTTTGGGTGATAACCTCGGAAGCCATTTCATAGGTGGTTTTATGGAAAACTTTAGCAAGTCACTCTATTTTTGTCGGTACTGTCTGACAACGAGACCTGACTTTCTACGTAGTCCTCTTCAAGTCCAAGAGCTACGCACAATTGATGACTACACTGATGCAATCCAAGACATTGCTGTCTTTGGGATTCCAGTTCGAGGTATAAAAAACAACAGCATTTTCAATGAGCTGCAGTTTTTTCATGTCTGCTTGCCAGCCTTACCTCCTTGTTTGGCACACGATCTATTTGAGGGAATCATTGCAAAAGACCTCTTGTTGTGCATAAGGTACTTTGTCTGTTCGCGTAAGTGGTTTTCCTACGCGTACTTAAACAGTCAAATTGCTTATTTTCCTTACAAATATGGTGATGCTAACAGTAAGCCACCACAGGTGAACGAGAAAGGGGTCAAGCTCTCAGGTGATGCCATTGCAACATGGAATGTGCTGCGCTTATTTTCTGTGTACATTGGTCACAAAGTTCAGAATGTAAATGACCCTGTTTGGATTCTTTTTCTAACTCTTCGCAAGATCGTAGATATTGTCACTGCACCAAGCTTGACTGAGGGAACCGTTGCGTACCTTCAAGTGCTAATCGAAGAGTACATAACCAACGGGCTTCAGCTCTTTCCTCTTGAAGCTTTGGTTCCCAAGCACCGTTATCTGTTACATTATCCTGGCTTGGTGCTGGCGTTTGGTCCACTGATAAACATGTGGACGATGAGGTTCGAATCGAAGCACTCTTATTTCAAGAACTGTGTGCGACAATTAAAAAACTTCAAGTCCCTCTGCAAGACATTAGCGCAACGGCACCAGATGCTACAAGCTTACTTGCATTCTGAGACGTTGTTCGGTCCCACGGTTAGCTTTAACAACAGCACGCCCTTTGTAATCCAGACATATTGCATTGAGTTGCAAACGTGTATTAGGAGCTTGGGAATAACAATGCTTGGGGCCGTTGTGACCGACGAAGTGGTCTACATGGGAACAGCGTACACCCATGGCATGTTTGTGGCACTTCAATCACATGATCCGATGTTTGGCGAAATCCTTCAGGGCTTAGTAGTGAATAAGGAGTATGTGTTTCTTATGCTACGAAAGTATTCAGGAAGGTTCATGTCACAGTTCCACTATTACGAAGTTAGCGAGACGTCTGAGTACCTCTGCATAAGTGTGGCATCTCTAGGGGATTACCTTCCTCTTCCACTTTACGATGTTGATGGAAGGTATATCTTGATTTCCAAACACTCCATTTTTTTTTAGAATGGATTCAGTCCAGGAAAAAGTGCTCTGTGTATTAGGCAGCCTAACAGAAGCAGAAACCCTTGGCGTGATGCAAACGCTGCAAAACCTTGGTGTTGAGAGGAGCAATGATTTGACCTATGTCAGTGAAGAAGACTTAAAGGGGTGTCTGAAGCCAATTCAAGTTCGAAAACTGCTCGCAAGCTTCCGTGCTGAGGGTAAGCTGTTTCCCGTCTGTTATATTTTTATTGCAAAATAATTATACAAATTGTGATTAGGTGTTCCTTGTAAACGCGCTGAAACCCATTGGTGTGCGTTGTCAAACTAATATTAACGGTTTATAAGAGTATTAGTAACTCACGGAGTTTATCGAAAAATATTAGTAATGAATGAATTGAGTACAATAAATGTGTCATGCAGAAGCTTAAATCTACATATAATTTCTTCACGTGTAACAGATTATTTATTAATTGCGGAGAACATAGCAAAGACACCAGCCATTTTTTTTATTAATTTCTTAATAGCGAAATTAGCATTGCCATATTTGTTTTGTTGAAGCCATGAAAGAAAGCTCTCGTATGCTCGCATCTTTGTACCATCAATAGAAGATTGAGCTTGTTTTTTTGTGTTTTTTTTTTTATACAGGAGGACTACTTAATAGTGCTTCTCACGATACACAAGAACCGCAATCCTGCGATCTTACGCCGTTACCCAGTTCAAGCACAGAATCACCGACTTCACACCTGGATCCGGAATGGGCGGATAACTTCGTTGTGCCATGGACAGAGATGCCTTCAGCCCTGAACTCTGCTCTGAAATCCTACAAACGACCAGAACCTAAACATCGTAGAGAAATGGTCCGAATCATAGTCAAGGCTGCCATGAAGAAATGCAGTCGACCCTTGAAAAAACACCTGGACATAATCGCACGCAAGATAGTCAAGGACCACCCATGTTTCAAAGACGTTATTGATGGGCGCGTCGTCGGAACTGGACACGAGTCCCTGCTAAATCAGCTCGTCTCAAGGGTGGAAAACAGCGTTCGCCCAGAAAAGCCATCTGGCTCTCAAAGGGAAGAAAAAAGAAAGAAGAGGCAGTACGGATGCCTAAGCCCGTGCGGACCTGACGAGGCCGATGATATTTTGAAGGAAAAACAAGCTAAGCTCAAGGAATTCTATCAGCATCGAGAAAACCAAAAGTACGATATACTGGATCTTATGGAGAGCACGTACTCACTGCAGAGGGCGAACATTGATTCTGGCGTAATGAACGTGGAGGACCTCAAGGAGGCTTGGCCTTTCCTTTTCCAGCCCTTTGGTTTATTTCAACACTTCAGACGACTTGTGTCCGTTGACATTGAAAGTGCTCTCAACGATTCACTGCCAAGCAAAGCTCAGAAGATAATGGAGTTTATGCAGTACAAGAAACTGGAGAAGAAGAAACTACTTACCGTTCTTCAAGGACGTGCGGGCCATCCCGAAAGTCCGCAAGCAGACATGATGTGTGCAATCCTGCTTCTGGTGACATACTTCGGCGAAAAATTGGAACTGCTACTTCTTCACAGTGAGGTATAAAAATCCCCAGTGTATTGCTATAGGATGACCGTTTTTCATTGCATCTTGTTCTTTTATAGAAAGACAAGGCAGCCACCGACGTGACGCAAGGAGCAACACCCATCTCGCCATGCATCATTGCTCATGGTGAGACTCCATCAGCCGCAATTCAAAAGCGTCTTGTCGCTATGGCTTTTGATTATTTTGCGCTTTGTTAGTCTTTTAATGTACTTCTGGGCGCTTCAGGCTCGGTAATAGATGTGCAGTTATAGATTACAAATATTTTTTTTCTGTTTGTAGGAGATAGCATTTACACAACGAAAAGTTACTCGCTGTCAATCGACGGAACCATCGTCATGGAGGACCTTCACCTCTTTGAAAGATACCTGGCCTCACTGTTCAGTGCCTACTACGTCTTCAACGTCGCCTGCCCGGAGGAGATCTGCGCCACCTTAGAGTTTATTCAGAGGTATTTTGAAATCCTTGGAACCACACGGCAGCTTTAATATTCAACTGCATTCTTTTCCGCACACTCTGACTAGCACAAACTGCACCAAAAGCCCTAGGCATAGACTAGTCTCTTTTTAATCTGATATGTATAATTATCATTTATGCAGCAAAAGCGCCTACAGAAGCTGTGTGCTGGTACTTAGCCTTTGCCAAAGTTCACATTTCAAAATGTTTTAGCGTGAAGATGGAAACCTCAACAAACTAGACAGTCATGGTTTGCACTCATTGTGACTGACTTATTAAGCGTCATATTTAGATAATTTTCTACTATATTGAACACTCCAGCGAACCTTTTTTTCTGCAAAGCAGTACCCGGATTACGTAATATATGTAGTCGAAGACAGCTTCACTATCTTGGCCCTGTGCCTGTTTTATAGCAGTTCAATAGACTTCGTGCATTAAGTGCACCCTCCTGGAGACAAATTGAGTAGTGAAAACCATGACCCCATTGGCGGTGCACTCCGTGTGGCGTGTGCGGTTGCTATGAAAATATAGCGCTGTGGCGAGCAGTTAAAATAGGACCAGTTAGACATTCCAGAGTGATTTAATATAGCAAAACGACAGTAAAGATGGCCATCGTAGTTATGGATGTTCCTTCTGAAATAGCTCTCATTACTTTTACTTAATTTTCAATGTTATTGCTGCTGGCAGGTGTCTTTTTTATTTTAGTTTTTATTTGGATTCTGTTATTGAACCGCTTATCGCTGCTGCAAGTTTGATGTACTGGTTTTAGCAGACATTCGGCAAGGAATGTACTAAGCATACTGTCTTGACGAAATCTTTTTTTTTTTTTTCAGATATGGTGTGCTTTTGTTATGGTGCAATAAATAACAAGTTTTGTGTTATTACAGTTGCTCTTCATTTATTAACTGTATCCCTATGCCGTTCCTGAAACAGAATTCAGGCTTGTCAAAACGATGGCACCCTTGCTTGAAATGCACTTGTCATTATCGAAATTTTTCGGTGTTCATTAATTTTTTTCTGACCTGTCGTAGTATGGTTAGCTCATAGACATGCAATTTTGTACTTTGCTCTTCCAGGTGTTTCGTGGGCGTCAACCCTGATAGGGGAAATCGTCGAGAGAAGAAGAGCAAAACATGTGTCCACAAGAAAGTTCTCAAGCTCATCGCAGACATGGCGGAGTTTGAGTGGAGTTGCAAATAAAGCTAAGAACATTTTTCCACTTTGACAATATATAATTATTTCTGTGTTGCTCGCCTTTCTCCTTTTTAAATGATTTCGATAGGAAAAGAATATCAGATTCTGCATGGCCAGCAGGCCTCACCGCTCACACCTCCACACCACTAAATTGAGAGGACATATTTGATAGAAATTATTCTTAAGGCCGGTTCAGACTCTAGTTCAGACACTTGCGTTTGAGTGCGTTTGACTGCGTTGCGGCGAGAACCGAAAGCGAATCACCGGCAAATCTGTGCTTCGTATGAAGCGTGGAATCCAATTTACAGAATCATCTTGGCACGCAATATAAGTAGCAGGGAGCTGCTGGTTCCTCGCGGCCGCAACGCAGTCAAACGCAACTATCTAAATCAGGCTTTACTATGCATGCCTAAAGTCAAATCGTAATCAGTTTTGCAATACAGAACATATTGGCCTTAACTACGATGAATGGAAAACATGCAACAGAAATGACCCAGAATGTTCTGTAAATCTAAAACCGAGCACCGCGCTTCTCAAAAGCTTTTGTGTGAAAACTTAACCGTATGAAAATTTGGATGTATGTGACTCCGCTTTATTGCAGTTTACAAGGCATGACCGCGATATAAAAAGGTACCAGAAAGGCCATAAAGCGCTTTGATTATAACGCAATTCAATGCAAAGGTGCAATCGAGCTGGACAAGAATGACGAAAATAATCCCTGGAGAAAGGGAACAAGAGGAACAAAGGACCAGTCGGATTTTTCGGTTGCGCAACAGCCACCTAGCTGCCTTCGGAGATTTCTGTTTATCCTATGTCCCTCTTCCCCTTCTCCAAGAATTATTTTTGTCAATGAAGCGCACCGTAATTTTTACGGTACTTTTTACGGTACGGTACACAAAAGCGTACCCTAAATTTTACGGTACGCAGAGGGCCGTAAAATTAACTGCGCTGTGACTGTTGGATTTACGGTCGGCGTTAAAATTCACCGTAAGCTAAATGAACAGCCAACCGTAATTTTTGCGGTACATTCTTGAGAGACCGTTAATTATACGGTACATGTTTTAAACTGGGCTGTAAAATTAACAGCGCTCTGTCTGTTAACTTTACGGTCGCCGTTAAAAGGGCCCGTAAATTAAATTTACCGCTCTCCGTAATTTTTTCGGTACAAGTTTGGCAGCATCAGCTGCCTGGTATTTGACCGTAAATTTTACGGTCCATTTTTTACAGTGTATTTAATCTCTTTTTTGTGTATATTTCGTCGTTCTCGACGTGGCGTCAACGAACATAAACCCGCTGCTTACGCCACTACAGAGGTGAGCTTTACTCTTGCCACGACGGTTTATCGCGCTATAAGGGCGTCTATTGGACTCGATAAAGTCTTGAGAGGGCGGTTTCGAATGCCGGTGCACATGTCATCAGTGTAGGTAGAGCAACGACGTAGCGATCGCGACGCGAGTGCCGACTGCGCCTCGATCTGGCCGGTCGCGCTCGCTCTGTGGAAATGTAAGCTTGGGACTCTCGAGCAGCGTTAGCTTACTGAAGATGCAAGACACTACTTTGTCGTCGTGAATCCTTTGCCCTTCGAATGGCTTCGAAGCCGTTCCAGCGCCCGGCGTATACCCTAGGCAGCGTCCTCCAACAACCGTTCGCACTGCATCGGAACCCTCGGTCTGCGAGCGCCGGCGGTTCGCCGTCGCGGGGATTATGTTCGCGGGAGTTCAAGTTCGCGGTGTTTCATGCTCGCCGCAGGAGTTCATAAAATGCTCCCACTCAAGTCGCGACGATAAATCGTCGGCGCTCGCAAACTGCCAGTAGGTTCCAGAAAGGTTGCGATGCTGCGCGGGCGGTCGCTGACAGGCGCTGCTGCCTAGGGTACGCCGAGCACTGGAACGTTTTCGCCGGCGTTCGCAGGACGAAGATTCTCAACGACAAAGCAGCGTCCTGCATTATCAGCAAGCTAACGCTGCTCGAGGGTCCCAAGCTCACATTTTATCAGAGTGAGGCGCAGTCGTCTCTCACTTCGCGATTGCTGCGTCGTTGCTCTGACTAAACAATTGACAGTTCTCTCGAGACTTCATGAGCGTTAAATCGACGCGTCTATACCGCGATAGAGTGTCGTGACAACAAAAAAAGCTTACCCCGGCAGGGGCGTAAGCAGCGGTGCAATGTCCGTCAACCCGCATGTCGAGAACGGCGAAATTTACACGAATAACAGCCGAAAAAGTTAATATCATTAGGCACGCGCTACCCTAGGTGCGTCCTATTATCTCTATGTTCTGCGAATTCAACAAATCAGCAAGCGCTGTGGCTAATTTTTCTTCTTTTTCTTCAAATTATCAGACATTAAAGTCATTGGCCCTTCTTGGAGCACACGTCCCCACCATGTGTCATCATGGTGTTAAGAGATGTAATTGATGGCAGTGATATAGACTGAACTCACGGATGAAAAACGTATTACGGCACAATTTTCTTAAACCACGCAATCAGAAATGCCACAACGATGCAAAGATTCCCAAAATTGAAGTTTAAAAATGCGAACCTAACAGTGTACACATAATTCAAAGGTGCTTGGTAATATATATATATATATATATATATATATATATATATATATATATATATATATATATATATATTTATTTATTTATTTGTGGACATCCTGCGCAAAAAAAAGTACGGCGTAAAGTATGATATCTTCAAACCTGCCTCGTTTTGGGTCACTTCTGGGAAGTGCAGCTTTAGAAAGAAGTCCAAAAGCTGACCTTCATGGAGCTGTCCTGTTCACTCGGTCGTGACAGCAAAGTAGACGCTATGCGTGTTTGAGGCCAATCATGTCTCCGGTTAGGGTCCCGTGACAACTGTCTCGAAGCTGGTGATAACGCTGAACACGGCACCTAGCCACACATAGCATCCACTGCACTACCAACCTTGGCTCGAACTGTCAACAGGATATTAATGACACATTCTCTCGCTATGTTCATTGTTGGTATGCCCCTGAAGATTAGTCTTTGTGATCGCACCCCCGTTCTGGCCTTGAAGAAGCTCTGTTTTTCAATTCCTCTGTTTTCTCTCTCTCCCTAAGCTGAAAGCGTTGTAGAAGGTACGGACTCGGCGGACCAATCAACCGTAGACTTTTGATCGCTTCACTCCGCTCTCAGTGCGCATGTAACGGAAGGAGCGTGATCACGTGGTTTGACAGATGACGCATTAGCCGCTGCCAATCCCGGAATGAGGCTGCTTGCGGACCTAGTTTAGCGTGTCGTGCGGCCCGCGGGGCTGCTGCGGATTTCGCTTCTATGGTAAAAGGTATCCCTATCGAAAAGTCCTACCCGTATGTCGGCAACAAGCAATTTCTTCAAAGAAGCCCAAGACATTTTTGTGATGCGTTCAGTGTTCGGTTCGGCAAATGACAGCTTGTACGTGGTGAATCTTCACGGATTCCTTCCTTCTCGGTTTTGTGTTTGAGTGGTTGGTCTGGAGTGCCCGTGTCGACGTATATTTCGGATTACATCTTTCAAGTCCGGTATTTTGAACGTAAGTGCGCTGCAACCTACTCGGCGACAATTGACCGTTCTGTGGTGTCTATCTCCTGGCAGTGACTATCTTCTGACAGTTGGGAGAATAATTTCCCCGTAATTCTACCGCAGTCGCCTGCCATTAGCTCTCTGAAATCACGTGAAAACTGTAGTTACAATACTGATACTCTTATTTTCCCTGCGTTTTGTGAAAAGACGTTTCATGGACACCTTTCCGTGGATACACGTTTCCTGGACACACGTTTAGTCGGCACTCGTTACGCGAATTGCGCGCTGCAGGGACATTTCGTCGCGCCTGTATTCCTGAGGCGCGTGCTCACCGACTCAGCCCACCCGTTCACGCCACTTCTTGGCAAATCATTACAAAAAAACAAACATATTTTGAGTTGTTTATAAACATCACGTGTTGATGAAACGATCTCGATGAAACGTCTTTTGATGAACTGATTGCAGCGCCAATGAGTGGCGACTTTCATTAGAATTTTGGGGGGAAGGGGGGGGGGGTAATTCGGCCGGCTGCCGGGGGCTAGACGCTACCCAGGAATCGCCTTTGGTTCTTGTTTGCTTTGCAATATTCTCAGTTGTATAACAGCTCAGTAGTACCTCTTCACATAGTAGAGATCGCTTAGTGTGTGCTTGCCTACAGAATGGGCTTCTAGGAGATTTAAAAACAATACTTTGTGTCTGTTTACCTCTGCTTTTGCAAACACCTGGGTGAGTGCATTTGTTTTTTGTTGTTGTTTTGTTGAAATGTTAGCTCTTTGTTTTAAATGGGGCTATGAAGTTCGGCACGTGTCGCAAGGTTTTGTTTAAAGATGTCCAGTGGCGACAAATAATTTGTTTCACCTTTCATATGATTGCGGTTAAAACAAAAACTACAGGCAGCTATGGCACGATGGTAAAAAGACTCATAAGACGAGATATAGAAGAAGCTATAGAGAACCATACAGATAGCAATAGGCAGCTAAATAAATAATAAAAAAACCATAGCAGCTATAGCACGGTGTCTAAAAAGATCCATAGAATAAGCCATAGAGATACCTATAGCAGACCATACAAGATGCTATAGGCGGCGAAAGGAACTATAGGAAATGCTATAGGCAGCTGTAGCACGATGGGTATAGAGAACTATAGGTTGAGCTATAGCAGACCATGCAAACAGCCATAGGCGGCTAAAGAAACCATAGAAAAAGCCATAGGCAGCTATAGCACGGTATCTAAAAAGATACATAGAGTAAGCCATAGAGATCTCAATAGCTGACCATACAAGAAGCTATAGGCGGCTAAAGGAACCATAGGAAATGCCATAGGCAGCTGTAGCACGATGAGTAGAGAGAACCATAGGACGAACTATAGAATGAGCTATAGCGGACCATACAAAGAGCAATAGGCGGCTAAAGAAACCATAGGAAAAGACATAGGCAGCTATAGCACGGTGTCTAAAAAGATCCATAAAGTAAGCCATAGAGA